TATTTAAAAAGTAAACCCATGAGCTTTAGCCAGGATGTGTTTTAAAGGGTCTACTCTGTTGCTTTTTCCCATACAGAAACTTCTTTTTTTTTTTTTTTTTTTGATGCCTTCACTCCCAAAGCCTGTGTCTCTTTTTAGGCTACTATGCAGGATTGGATCTTTTGTCCTTTAAAAATGTTAAGCAGAAAGCCTTTCCCTTAAGTTTGGAAGATCTTTTCCTTCATGGAAAACCAGATGTAAAGGAGATAACATATTTGTCGGATGTTCTTTTTTTCCCCCTATATCCAAGCCCTCTCTCACCTTTACTATAGGTGCTCTTAACTAAAGAGACAAATTTTTCCAAATCTCTTAAAAGACTGTTTACCCTCCTGTACACCTACAATGGAATGCATCCTCACTTCTTTTGTAGTCGGTACCTTCCTCTATAAGAAAGAGGAATTTGGGAAGGTTTTGGTTGTTTGGGGTGGTTTTTTAAAAAAAAGTTTACAGTTTAAATATGTCAATATCTGGTAAACAAGAACATGCATGTTTTGAGTACATATTTTAAGAGTCAAAGGCTTTAGTCGATTCGAGTTCGTACGCTGCTGCAAAGATACTTTTTGGCATCAAATATGTTCTCATTTGAGCCAGAGCAAACCTTCGTTGGCTTGCTTTTTTCCCCTTCATTCTCTGTGTTCCCATTGAGAGTTATTGCAAAGTGAGAAAGACATTTTTTACATTAACTATTCTACTTTGACTAAGAACCAGTGAAAGATTTACAAGTTCACAGATTCCCATTTTACTATTGTGTCCTGTAAACATGGAAACTGCTAATACTATAGAAACAACGCTAGCCCTTGCTTTCACCATGACCTGCTTTTCACCAATTTAGAAGCAGTCAGTGCCATTAGCTTACTTTTATAAGCACACTTATCTTAAGAATATTGTCATCATATCCAGAATATTTAATTTTTTACTACTCCTAACCAACTTGAAACTCAAAGCAACTCAACACTTGATTTCAGTTTCTGCCTAAATCCTTCCTCTCTGCTACTGCATTCTAAACTGTAACAAAAAAACCTGACGGGCTCAGAGAAGAAAAGAAGGTCCCTCACTTTACTGGGTTTATTTTCCTTTTTATCACCTATTTTCTGGAACGAAATATTTCTACAGTGGGGAAGCGCTGTCTTCATCCCTTGCTCATCCCTTTTCACCGAGCAAACTCCAAGGATTTGAAAACAGACACACCCCCTCCACTTAATTTGTAAGGCAAACGATACAGTTTTTTTTTCCCCACACAGGTCTAATAAAGACATCAGTCTTTGCATTTATAAAGGCAGGTGGCCTCCCTCTAGGCCAAGACATGTTCCAGCTACAACCTCTCTTCTTTTCTGTTTGAGACAATGTATAATTTAAAAATTACAGGACCAGCAATTTCCTATCAGATACTGTCCGTGCGATTTTGTTCGTACTTGCACTAGAAAGTGCATTGAGACTATTGGTATTTACATTTACAACAGAGAGCAGCCAATAATTATTAAAAACCTAATCTGAACCCCAAATTAAAAAAGTAGAGCACCGGAATTTGTGGAAGGCTCATCTTTCCTAAAGCAAGTGGACTGTAGCAGCATCATGAAAGCAAGCAAAGGTAACCCAAAGAACTCGCACCACTTGCACTTTAAAATGTTGCTTTTAAACACTTCTGTGGTTGGATCTTTAATTAATCGTACTTATGGAAAGCATAGTGAGAAATCAGATAAAACCTCACAGCATGAAGTGTAACCATGAAAATACTCTAGGAAAAAGCTATGAGTGAAGGCCTCCCAATTATACAAAACCATTTAAAAAATCAGCAGTTTTATAACAGTTGGATCTCCTGCAATTTTGCCCAAAATAAAATGCAGGAACACTCAAATAAACCTTATCACAGGCTGAACCGTGCCAGGCATCAGCTGCCCAGGTGTGGCCTTCAGTAGAAATTTCCTAGAAAAAAGAGCTGGGGGCAAAGACAAGAGCAGTTCCGACTGCTCCTCCACCACACCGGGGAAACCCGCTGGCCTCCGCACGAGGGCAAACCAGACACGTGGTCACTGCAGAGCTGGCCTTGAGGCAACAAGAGCTACCCCCTAAAAAGAGGTTGAGGTGGTCCTGGGAAAAGGCAGATGCCTTCAGGGCAGGGATGCAGCCAAAGAAGTTGCCTTAGAGGGAGGAGGGAATGATCCTTGGTGTCAACATCAGCTCCAAGGCCAAACCTTACTATTCAGAAACTTCTAAACCCAATTTCTTACTTTCCAGATTTACAGATACGGAAGAATCCCTGAAGAGCAGCCTCAAGCACCGCTGCAGAGCACTACTTCCGAAGGGCTTGGAAACAAAGATCAAACTCAAACCCAAATATTTCTAGAAAGCTGAGGCTTTGTTTGACCTATACTACTAGCATAATAAAAGCTAACTGTACAGACATTGCTCCTCTAATGCTCTTTTGGTTTTTTTTACATTAAACTTCATTTACACATGAGAGAAAGAAATTGTAATTCACCCTCAAATTATCTTCCATCTTCTCTCACATGAAACAGTGGGAAATAATCACCCTATTTTGCTATCTTGATGTATCTTTAAAGGTACTCATTAAAAGAAACGTACATCCAGCAGGTGAACAGAGATAACTGGTCATAAGTGATGACGGCAAAAATATACAAATATCTGATCTGAAAAAAGGCCAAGTTGGAAGCCAGATGCATACTGAACTATCCACTTTACTTGCTGTTTATTCAGCTCATGTCAGGATGATTCAACTCATCTTTACACGCAACTCCCTATTCATACAGCATCTTCTGGTCACAAAACCAAGCATTTTCCATTTCTTTTTCTAAACAAAGGGCAGAACAGTGGAATGGGAACTTGCCATTCAACAGCGGAAACTATTTGTAAAGCTGGGAAGCTGGAGACACTAGGAAGAAAAGGCTTTAATGAAACTGGCCACTGTGTGTGCCAGCTGTCAAGACTTTTTATATATTCTTCCAAGGAACACAGACTGAGGCTTTTTCTGTATTTACTCTTTACATCCCAGTTATTATAATTCTTTGAATGATGCAAAAGAACAAAATTCATGAGAAGTGCCGTATTGGAAACAGGAAGGCTCATTTTCCCTTGCAACTAGTCTGTAGCTGCACTCAATGACCCATTAACTTATTTTTGGTTCTGTACAAAGCCAGCACCGAGACATTTGCGACTCATTATCAACTGAGCACAGGAATTCACCACCAGAGCCCCAGCTGATCCAGATCCAAAGGAAATCCCCATATGCTTGGAATTTCTGAAATACAAGCATTACAGTTGTTGCCTGGTAAGAAGACAGTTTCCATACACAACAGAGGATATGTTTATATTTATGTTTTTGGAGGCTTGTATCTCAGCCAGAGGCAGATAAATTTTCCCAGGGCAGCAATAGTCATATCACTGACATCTGGCTAAAAACATAGTACTGTTTCAAGTCACTACTCCCAAGCGGTAGAGCTGTGACAGTTTTCCAGACGAACATTTAAGCCTGCAATCCTTTTTGTTATTGCCTTTTTTTCATTAGGAGATCCCACATTCTGTGGCAAAAAGATGTCCTACACAAAACAGTTTTGCTCACTATGCAGCTTTCATTCATTCCTTCCCAGAGCACAGTTTGTCCTCTGCTGTGGAGGAGGAAAGCTCTTGCGGGTTTGACTTTGGTGTCCGCCGTGACACAGCTTCCCGGAACGAGCCTGGAGGGGAGCCCAGACACTGCTGCTGCGTACGGCAAGGTCTGACCCCATCGCTTGGACTTGGGACCGCTCACAGCAGTGCCCTCACCAGCCAGAGGTTATTAGTAGGCAATGCAGCATTTTACAACATATTAGCATTTAAGTGACAGCTAAATGAGCAAAAGTCTTCCCGGGAGCATACCCAGTGACCAGTGAGTTGAGAAGGGCCTTCAGCATTATTGGAATCACACAAACACTCCACAGACACCTTCTCTTTTGGGCCAAGACAAAAGTTTAGCTTATTTCCCTGCCCTTGTAAACAGCACACAGAAAGATGGGGGGGCTGAGGCAAGCACATCACATTTTCCACTCTGCCATGGAAAAAGTATAAGGTGACTATGTAATTAAAGATGGTGTGATAATGAATGCATACACTAAGACTGGCTAGTGTGAGGTGGAAATTTTAATTCTGGTATTTCATACCTTTTAAGAACTCGAATTGGCAACCTTAATAACATTCTTTGAATTTTTGAAGTAATATAATTACTTTCAATTAATCAAAATGAGGAAAGAATGAAATATCCTTTCACGAGACACTGAGATGAATAATATTCAGGGAGCAGAGTGGTGACCACTAATGTACCCATGCTTATTGCAACTGCCAGGCAGCAGCATCTGAGAAAGCTTCTCCTTCTACCCAGGACAGGAAATAATTGTCTGACGTCCATCGTCAGAAGCTGACTAACGAACAGCAATGAGCTATAACAGTAAGTGCTGCTGTGAGGTCTTGATTATACGGAACCAGAAAATTCAAGCTTCGAAGCGACCAGTGACTCCCTTGCAATTCCCCTACACTGTCTCATAACTCTGTCTCTCCTCCCTCCCTCCCTCCCTCCATCAGAGGCTCTCAGCCACAATCCTAAATGCAAAAGATCCCCGGGGATGTGGGGAGGCCCAGGTGAACTGCCTGGGCAGTCCGGGGGCACTTGCCCCCACTCCCTCCACTCCTCCTAGCAGCACATCTTTAGTGAGGCGACCCGTGACTGTACTAAGGCTCGCCCTGGAAGAGACCCTTCCCCTGGCAACCATCCTCTGATGGAGATCTGGAAGGAAAAAAGCCCCAGATTGTATTCTGTTTTCTGAGCAGAAACATGGAAATCTCTCCAATGTTCCCTTTCACAACTCCCACCACCACTTTGAGAAGACTCAAGGGCTGATATCTTGATTTCAATTTTAAAAACAGAATTTTGTGCACCGACTCCATGGCTGTTAGCATTCAGAAAGTTTTACCTCTGCTCCTGAGTATTTCTGTGTGTGCTGAACAAGCTCCGTTAAGCAGACTTCATCACTGACTGGCATGGACTGAAAATGAAGTTTTAAGATCTCCTCGCGAGTGGCTGCATCTGGCAATGGCACGTAGATAATTCTGTCTATTCGTCCTGGTCTCAGCAAGGCCTGCAATAAAAGCACCACAGGAAGAGTTATAGCACATAGCACATCACATCGAGAAAGTAAAAACCACAACTCAATTAAAAACAACGACGCCACCAAATAACCAATTTCAGCAAAAGCAAGAAGCTGCACAAGAACAATCGAGCTATGTGCAAGAAGGGTAATTCTCCTATGTTAGAATGGATCAGTAACTGAAAAGACAGTAAAGTTACTTAGCTTGAGAAATACCAGTTTATGGAAAAAAGGAATCATAAAGGAACCATAGTAATTGTCCTAAAATAATAAATTTAGGCTTGTTGCAAAGTGTACTGAAATGTTATGACTTCACGGAAGGACAGGTAGCAATGGACACATCCCAAGTTCAGATCTTCAATCAAGACAAGTGGAGAAAAAAAGATCTTTGAAGTGAAGCTTCCATTCTGGATTCATGTTGCTTTATCCCAAATTATTAGAGCTGCACACGCTTACAGAAGAGCAGATTACTATGACAGTTTTTTAATGCAAAATAAGGTAACAATAGACAGAGGCCAGTGATGCTCAGCTTCAAAAAGGGAGAGGATAAACCATAGCCTTGCAAAAGCACTACTGTTAATCCATTTTAGCATCAGCTTTGAACTGTTGGAAGAACCCTGCTTCTTCCTTGTGCCACAAGACAATTGAAAATTCAACAGTTACATGCTAAGGCCCCAACCTTCCAGTTTCATACACGTATATTGGCCCTTGCACTTTGGTTTCCCAGGGTTAGTTTATATATACACTGGGGAGGTGGGAGGGTGACAGAGCAAACTCTGGGCAGCAGCTGCAGACAACGTAAGAGGGGACAACAGCCACAAAGGGCAAGTAGAGGGTTCAGCCTGGAGGGGAGGAAAAAAAAAAAAAAAAAAAAAAAAGAAAATCTCTAGAAGAGAAGCGTGGCCATGGGGCAGGTCATTGGGGAGGCTGCGGAAACTTTGTCCTTGGGGGTTTTGCGGCTCGGCCAGACAAAGCCAAGTCCTCCCCGATCTGGTGCTGGCGACAGTCCTGCATTGTGCGGGAGGGGGGACTGCAGGAGTCTGGAAGCCCCCTCCAGCTAGAGTTTCTGTGCTTTCTGGAGGGGGTCAAAAGTAAACTTTATCTCTATATAAAACAATTATATCCAATACACAGGAAAAGCCAAGCTCTTAAATATATGAGAGGAGAGGAAGCTTATTTCCCTATATTTCTAAAAATCTCCAAGGTTTTTGAAAACCATCTACAGTTAAAATAATAAAAACCCTCCGAGCCTTTCTTACTTGACATTTGAAAAAACAAAAAACCAGAAAAACAACAAACCACCTGTAAATAGCAAATGCATATAAATAGTATTGAAACTATTTTTTAAAAACTGAACAATGTTTATAAGATTCAGCATGTAACCTAAATTGTTTTTATGTTATGGTTCTCCCTTGGGCAGAGTAGTTTGAGTTCCAGATGACTAGAGATATTGCATGGCTGTCCTGGGCTGTCAGCCAATAAGTCTTTTCCCAGCCTGATCATGTCAGTGAAAGTCATGCTGAAAAAATAGTAGGAAAGAGCTTTCCTTCCTGCACAGCATTGATCAAGTTAACACCCTTCCTAGAGTTTCTTTAAAAAGACTGTTGTGGTGCTTCAGAGTGGAAAAATGTATCCTGAATGCTAAGAGATGTCTTGTTATTTTTAAAATAGAACATGAAAACGCTCAGCACGGCACTGCGGTGTGTGGCATGGAGCTACATAAGGACGGCTGTACTGGGAAGACTAAAGGTCGGTACCCAGCCTGGTATCAAGTTCCTGGCAGTGGCCAATGCTGGATCCCTATGAAAGAGCGAGAAGCAAGCCATCACTGATATTTCCTCAGCAGACTGTGCTACTTTCCACAGCACTCTTGATACATTCACCAAAGAACTCAACCCACTGATGCTAACTCAACCAGTGTGTCAATTCAGCGTCAAAATCATGTGCGTATCAGGATTTTGCCATTTTTTTGCCAACAAACTTGAAAGAACAATTTGCATGTTTCAAGACTAGGCTTGGAGGGAGAAGAATTATACTGGAATTGCGTTTTCCATGCTCTGAAGGAAATGCCCATAGCTAATCCTATTATTTAGAAGAAACAAGAAATGTTCACATGAGTACAGTGGTGCACCTCTTTTAAATCAAGGCAGGTTTAATCAGGACACCTAGATAATTAGAACATTTTCTAAAGCCAGCTTAGTTTCACACTGATTAATGACCACAGCTGTTGTGGAAGTGGGACAGGAAAAATGCTTGATGCCAATCAGCTGGGAACAAGCGCTCCCCTGCATTGCATCGGCTTTCAGTTCTGAGATACAGTCTTCTAACATGACAGGGCACCCACGCTTGCAAAGCACAACTGCAGATGTAAAAGAGTGAATATATTTTTTTTTCTCAGTTACTAAAAAATGTATTTTCTCCAGTTTGTCTCCAATACTTTGCGTTTTATATATAGTCATAGTTGGAGGCCCAAGTTTTAAACACGCTATCATTACTTTTTGCTACATTCAGGCTTAGGGACCTTATCCAAGATGGCCAGATGTGCTGGGAACTGTACAAAACAAGCACTAGTCAGTCTCTGCAGTGCTTGCTGCTTAAATAGACGTAGACAAAAAGAGAGGAGAGAAAAATATTCTGTAACCTCACTTGAGAGAGGAGTCAAATTCCCTCCAGCCCCCAGAGAGAAAAGCAGATTGAACTGAGAGCTGGTCTCCATCAGACATCCCAGCTGGATGGGAAACTTGGTGACCCTGGGAGACCCTGGGCACAGCCCGACTGCTCCTCGCTCTGCTGTCACCACCCTTGTCCCTTTGGCAAGCTGCCGGCCCCCTCCCCTCCACGCTCCTCAAGAACTAAAAGCAGAAGGAGAGGGTGAGGAAGGGGCCTGCCGTGACCCATCCTGCGTTACTGGAGGGCAAATCCCTGGTGAGAGGCCATAGGTGGGCTGCAGAGCTGCTCTGCTGCCTGCTGGTCTGAAAGCAATCGGAGAGCAACGGCAAGTCGAGGCCGTTCTTGTTTGCAGGACATCACGTTGCCCTCTCCGGCTGTTGGTCTCTGCATGCTTCTCATGGAGATACTTTCCCTTTTTGGCGAAAATAATTCAGGGCTCAGAACTGAGCTGCACGTAGATGTCAGCAATGAGGGAACAAGATATCCCTCTTGATGTTTTTGCACACTGAAGTTTCCTTTGGAGGAAAATGAGCTCTTTCTGCGTTGCTTAGAGAAGCCTGCTGTGGCATTCGATGTGGACACCTGCAGCAGCGGTGTCAGCTTTAACACCAAGGCCCAGGTCATGCTTACTTCTGCTGCTGGCAGCAGTGCTGAGTTTGATGGATGCTGGCACCACCTTTTTCCTCAATGCCGATTTTCTTACAGACCTAGAAGCTATTTATCTTCTCAGCGGGGTGTTCCGTGATGCAGGCTTCCCCAGGGAAAGGGTTTTGGAGGTGGTTGCTGCAAGCGCGCCATGACCTTCACGGGCTGTTCCAGAAGATGGAGCTTCAGTCTTGCAATTTGCACATTGAAAACCGTGAGGAAAGCGATAAGGACACCCAGGTCACCTCCAGACCAGCCCTGCTGCCCACAGGGTGCATTGGGATCCAGCACTGACCCTTTGGCCAGGCGGGAGTTGAAGCTGCCTGGGACTGATCCTCGCTGTCGAGCTGGAGGAGGAGGAATTCGGCAGGAGAAGGCGGTGGCTTGGCTGTGCAGGAGGAGAGGCGGGGGGGAGGGTGAAGAGTTGAAGCGGGGCTGCAGGTTCAGGCAGATATGAGCTGCCGGGAGTACAAAATTAACCGCTCGCGGCTGGGAGATGCAAAGCTGATTTGAGGCTAGGAGCACACAGAAGGTGGGAAGTTGATGGGGCCAAAATTAATTGATGTGTGCGCAGAGCTACATAATTCACTGATGGTGAGATGTGAGGGTTGCATAATTTATGTAGGCCAGGAAGGGCACAAAATTAAGTAATTGGGGTTTTGGTAGAAACCAGAATACTTCATACCATTAAGCAATTCTTTTGCAAGTTTATGTAATTTTTTTGTTGTTACCACAACAGTTACGAAAGGGGTCTAAGTGCACATACACTGAAAGGTTACGAGTGGTACACAGACACAACATTCTTCAGGGGAGCACTAGGAAGGTGGGACAATCATCATGTAATACATGATATCATCAATAGCAAAAAAAAAAAATTTAAGAAGAAACTGCTCCCCTTTGAAAAAGAAATGCTTAAATTCTTTGGTAATTAAAATAGAGTATTACTTCAAAACATATCATTGGAAAAGATAGCTGGTTCAAAAATATGTATTTTTTGGTGCAATTACGAAGATAATTATTTCAGGAAAGAAAACTTAAATAGGTAAAGCCAGAAAAATATTTGTGGTTCCTCGTAAGAATGGACTAGAATTAACCTTAGGGCTTTGCTAATTTTCCTCCTCCTCCTCCTCCTCTCCTTTGTGGTTTGGTTTTTTTTTTTATTTGTTTGGGTTTTTTTTAAAGCATCCATCTTTAGTTAGCTTTCAAAGGATACTTGGCCATTTCAAGAACTACACTGTCAATCAATGAAGAATTGTAACACTGACAGAAGCATACCTGGCTGATGAGCTTTCCATGGGATAGTAAAAATAGCTTTCCTACTGCCATGCCTAACTCATCAAAATCAATCTTAATTAGATTTTATAACAAAATGTAATATATAAATGGTGCAAGAGGGTAACCTGACATTAGAAAAAAAATGTAATTCCAGAAATGTGGAAAACTTGGACAAAAGTTTCATTAGCAAAACGTAACCTGCATAGCAAAACTCAATCTGCAGAGTAAACAGCATTTCAAGGTGTTTA